GAGGTCGCTCGTACCTCCATGATCCATGCAGCTGCCCCCCATTTTCTGTGGCCGTTTGCGGTCCGGCACGCCGCACATCAGCTCAACCTCTGGCCCCGTGTCTCCTTGCCGGAGACCTCGCCCACACTGCTGTGGACGGGGAAAGTTGGCGATGCGTTGCGTTTCCGGGTCTGGGGTGCTCGTGCTTTTGTTCGCGATACCACCGCGGACAAGCTCTTCGCTCGCGCCATTCCCTACGTCTTCCTTGGCTTTGGCCCTGACGCGCCTGGCTGGCAGTTTTACGACCCCGCCTCGCGCCGTGTCTTTCCGTCTCAGGACGTCACCTTGGACGAGTTTGTCCCCTTTTACCGTCTCTTTCCCTACCACACAGCCTTTTGCCCCCCCCCGCCGCTCTTTCTTGCCCCAGGTCCTCACCAGATAGACCCCCTCCCCGCGCCAGGTCATGCTCCTTCAGGTGTTTCTCAGGTAGACCCTCCTGTGCCTGCGCCTGTTGAGGTCACTGGTGACTCAGGTCCTGCTGGGGGTGGTGCTGTCCTTGGGGGTGCTGAGCGGGTGCGGAGCTTGGGGGTGCTGAGCTTGGGGGTGCGGAGCCCTGCGCGTGAGGACCTAGGAGGTACTGAGCCGGGGGGTGCGGAGTCTGGGGGCGCTGAGCCTGAGTGTGATGAGCCTGGAGGTGCTGAGCCTGCACGTGAGGAGCCTGGAGGTCTTGAGCCTGGGGGTGCTGTGTCTGGAGGTGCTGAGCCCGAGCGTGAGGAGCCTGGGGGTACTGAGTTTGGGGGTGCAACGCATGAGGGTTCTGAGTCTGCTGCTGCGCGGTCTCCTTGGAGTAGCCGCCTTCGTCCGCGTGTACCTCTCACTTCATAGCAGCTGCACGATTGGTACGGTCGCCGTCAGGGTCGCGCTTCTGGAGCTCGGGGCTCTGCTGCTGGAGGTAATTCTGCTGACGTCACTAGAGCTGAGAGTGGTGCTGGTCCTTTGTCTACTGGAGGTGCTGGAGTCGCTGGTCCCGGAGGTGCTCGTACTGGAGGTACTGGAGCTGCTGGGGCTGGAGGTACTGTGTCTGAGGGTGCTACTGCTGGAGACCCTGGGTCTTGGGGTGCTGCTACTGGATGCACTGGGGCTGGAGACCCTGGGCCTGGCGGTGCCGGTTCTGGGGGTGCTGCAGCTGGTGGAGCTGGTCCTGGAGGAGCTGGCACTGAGGGCTCTTGAGCTGCTGGAGGTGCTGGAGCGGCTGCGGGTTCTGGAGCTGCTGAAGGTGCTGGAGCTGTTGGTGCTGGTGGCACTACACAGCCGCGCCTGTTCTTCGCTCCGCCATCTTCGTCGTCTCAGCCACCGCCTGACTCTGCGCTTCGCCAAGTTCTCAGTCTCCCTTCGTCAACTAGTCTTCCGTTACAGTCTGGCTCGTCGCTGCCTGCTCCTTCTCCTTACAATGAGCAGACAGGGGGCCTTACTGAGCGTCGTGAGCCTGCATTGGGTCCTGTCTCACGTGTCCGTTCTGGTCGTTCCGGTCTTCGTGTTCCTCGTCCGCGTCAGCCGGCTGTCCACGGCACCCACCTTGTAGTCCGTCGTCCTTCCTCTCCTCCGCAGCGTGTTCCTCTGCCTTCTCCACCTCCGTCCTCTCTGCCTCACGTTGCGGACCCTGAGCCTGACAAGTTTCGTACTGAGAACCCTACTGTCACGCGACTGTTCGCCACTGTGGTCACTGACCCGTCGTTTGAGTCCGCTGCTGCGTCTGCCTTAGACGCTGAGCTTGTTGACTTTGCTGCTGCCTGTCGTCTAGACTACGCCGCTAGCCTTGTTGCTGAGTCTGAGTCTGCCTGTCCTCCGTCCGTCGGGGGTGAGTGTGCTCTAGGCACAGACGTCCTTGAGGTCTGGCAGGAGGACCTTGAGTGTCTTGCAGCCGCTCCGCCTCATCTCGTGGCCATACTGCTGACCCGTTGCTGTTGCTGCGCACCGACACTTCGCTGCCGCCGTTCTACATCCTCGTGTACGTCAACGACTTGGTCTTTGCCACTGCTGACACTGAGGCTCTCGCCCTGGTAAACTCGGAGCTGCAGAAGAATTTACCAGTGCACAGACCTGGGTGAGCTGCGCAGTTACCTTGGCTTGCAGATCACCCGGGACAGAGCACGCCGCACCATCACACTGACTCAGTCACACATGGTGCAGTAGGTCCTTCAGCGCTTCGGCTTCACCTGGTCCTCGGCACAGGCGACTCCTCTGGCTACAGGTTACTCGCTCTCAGCTCCACCTTCGGACGAGTCCGTAGAGCCAAGTGGTCCTTACCCAGAGCTAGTTGGCTGCCTCATGTACCTGATGACCTGCACTCGTCCTGACCTTCCATACCGTCTTTGCCTTCTAGCTCCCTACGTGGCTCCTGGTCGGCACGGAAAGGTGCACATGGATGCTGCTAAGAGGGTACTGCGTTACTTGTGCAGTACATCAGGCATGGGGCTCGAGCTTGGAGGACGGGGCGACGTTGTCCTCACTGGTCACTCGGACGCTTCTTGGGTTGACGAACAGGCTACGAAGCGGTCGTCACAGGGTTACACCTTCAGTCTTGGCTCTGGCTCTAGTTCTTGGCGGTCTACACCCTCGTCTTCTGTTCTCGGCTCCTGTTGTGAGGCTGAGATCTACGCCACAGCCATGGTTGCATAGGAGTTACGCTGGCTCACCTACCTGCTGATTGACTTGGGAGAGAGGCCTCGTTCTCCTCCAGTTCTGTACGTCGACAACAAGGCAGCCATTGCCTTGTATCAGGAGCACAGACTAGAGCACAGAACAAAGCACATCGCTCTGCGTTACTTCCTGGCTCGAGAGTTGCAGCAGCGGGGTCAGTTTCATCTTGCTCACGTGGCCACTCGGGCCAACACTGCTGATATTTTCACCAAGGCACCTCTGCCTGGTGATCATCAGCGCTTTTGTACTTTGTTGGGCCTTGTGCCTAGGTTTCCACACTTGCTGTAGAATCTGCTTGTACTCTGATATACATATATATATATATATGTATATACCTGCATGCTTGTTCTTGCCAGGTAGAGATCACTGTACTGTTCTTGTTGCATATATACCTCTGCATGTGAACTGGCCTTGTGGCCTTTTGCTTGTGCTCAGTGTGTGTGGTGACGTTGTGATCCACCCTGAGCTTGCTTTGCTTTTCTTGACCGGTCTTGTGACCTCTTGCTCTCCCCCATTTTGCCTATGGGGGTGTGTCAAAGATATGCATATGTTATATTTGTGGATAGGCTGTAGTGGGGTAGATACTGTGGGGTATAACCCCTTAGGGTTTTCTCCTTGTACCAATTCTCTCGATAGTCAACTTCATTGATGCCTAGATTCTATGAGATTTTTACCTGTGTATGCCGCCCGACCCAGGTATAGAGGTTGCTGCTCTAGGTGCGAGTGAGTCTGCTGTCTCTGGTACTGTGCCTGCTAAGGCCTTGCACACCTTTACTCTTGACTCAGGTGCTTCCCGCTATTTCTTTCACGATAGTACCACTTTCACACCACTCCCTGTACCAATTGCAGTCTCTCTGGCTGACCCCTCAGGGGGACCAGTTCTTGCACGTTCGTCCACTGTTCTCCCGTATGCGGCGGTTCCGTCCGGCTCACTGTCGGCTCTTCACCTCGCCTCGTTCTCTACGAACTTGGTGAGTACTGCAGCCCTCGAGGATGCGATGGTCACTACCACCACTCCTAGGGGTCAGCGTGTGTCGATCTGCACGTGTACACGGATGGGCCGTCACCTGGCCACGTTCACCCGTCAGCCTGGGTCGAGTCTGTACACACTGACTACTGCGCCTCCTCAGGTAGCTGCGTCTGGTCAGGTGTCCTCGTTAGGTCAGGTAGCAGCCCCTTGTTCGTGTCGCCTCCTGTCCCACCAGACTCTCCTTTGGCACCACCGCCTTGGTCACCCCTCCCTGCCACGCCTCCATGGCATGCACTCCCGCCTTCTTGTCTCTGGTCTTCCCAGGTCTGTGCCTCGCCTCCCGCCCTCGCCTGCCCCTCCCTGCCTTCCTTGCGTCGAGGGGCGGAAGCGCGCCGCTCCTCATTCCTCCTCGTTTCCCCGGACGACTGCTCCACTGCAGACTCTCTACATGGACGTGTGGGGCCCAACCCGCATCAGTGGAAAAGGCTGCGGGCAATACTTTCTGCTGGTTGTTGACGTCTACTCGCATTACATCACGGTGCAAGGGGGAGGTCCCTGATGTTTTGATTCCTTGGATCCACGCTGTCCGTCTCCAGCTCCGCGAGCAGTTCCGCCAGGACCTTCTTGCCCTTCGTCTGCACTCTGACAGAGGTGGTGAGTTCTCCTCCGACCTCTTGCGGGACTTTTGTCGTGTGGAGGGCATCCTCCAGTCGTTCACGCTTCGGGCCTCCCCGCAGCAGAATGGGATTGCTGAGCGCGGCATTGGCTTAGTCATGGAGGTGGCTCGTACCTCCATGATCCATGCAGCTGCTCCCCATTTTCTGTGGCTGTTTGCGATCCGGTACGCTGCACATCAGCTCAACCTCTGGCCCCGTGTCTCCTTGCCGGAGACCTCGCCTACACTGCGTTGGACGGGACAGGTTGGCGATGCGTCGGTGTTCCCGGTCTGGGGCTCTCGTGCCTTTGTCCGTGATACCTCTGCGGACAAGCTCTCCTCCAGCACTATTTTCTGTGTCTTCCTTGGCTTTCCCCATGACGTGCCTGGCAGGTAGTTTTACCACCCCACTACGCGCCGTGTCCTGCCCTATCAGGACGTCACGTTTGACGAGTCGGTTCCTTTTTACCATCTCTTCCCCTACCGCACCGCCCCTCTCTCACACCCACCACTCTTTCTCGCTCCTGGTCCCCCTCCGGTAGACCCCCTCCCCCCTCAGGGTCATGCTCTTTCAGGTGTGTTTCAGGTAGAACCAATCCCCTAGGCTGAGCCTGTCGAGGTCACTTCCGACACCTCTGGCTCACCTGAGGGGGGTTACGTTGCTGCTGACGACGCGGCAGCCCCTCGCCGCTCACCATGCTTGGAGACCCCTCTAGGTTTCCGGCCTCGACCGTCTGCGCCGACTCTGCAGCCGGTTGCTGTCGACTCTGGTGCAGCTGAGGGTGGTGCTACTAAGGGTGCTGAGCCTGGGGGTGCTGAGCCTGGGCGTGCTGAGCTTGAGGGTGCGGAGCCTGGGGGTGCTGAGTCTGAGGGTGCTGAGCCTGGGGGTGCTGAGCCTGGGGATGCTGAGCCTGGGTGCTGAGCCTGAGGGTGCGGAGCCTGGGGGTGCTGAGTCTAGGGGTGCTGAGCCTAAGGGTGCTGAGCTAGAGGGTACTGCGTCTAGGGGTACTGAGCCTAGGGGTACTTCGTCTGCTGGAGGTTCTACGGGTGTCTCACAACAGCTGCCTAGCCGGCGGGAGCCTCTCTCCCCACAGCATTTGCGCGAGTGATTTGCTCGACACACCCGCCTTCGGAGTGGCATTGCCAGAGCTAGAGGCCCTGCCACTGGAGGCGCTGGAGCTGGAGGCACTGGAGTTGGAGGCGCTAGAGCTGCTAGTCCCGGAGGTGCTAGAGGTAATGTTGGTGCTGGAGGCGTTGGAGGTGGAGGTACCGGAGGTGCTGGAGCTGCTAGTCATGGAGGTGCTCGTACTGGAGGTACTGGAGCTGCCAGAGCTGGTGGTGCTGCTGGCGCTGTGGGGTGCTGGTGCTGTTGGTACTGGAGGTGCTAGAGGTGCTACTGGTACTGGAGGCACTGGAGGTGCTCCTGGTGCTAGAGGCGCTAGAGCTAGAGGTACCAGGGGTGATGGAGCTGCTGATCTTGGAGGTGCTCGTACTGGAGGTGCTAGAGCTGCCAAAGCAGGTGGTACTGCTGGTGTTGGAGGTGCTGGAGGTGTTGTTGGAGCTACTAGTACTGCCCCGCTCCGACCGTTTTTCTACCCGCAGCCGCAGTCGTCCCTGCCTCCGCCTGACTCGGTCCTTCGCTAGGTTCTTAGTATCCCGTCCTCCACTGGAATCACTCCACCTCTCCTGTGTCCACCGGCAGACCAGTCTAAGCCACAGTCACTGCCTGGATCCCCGTTGCCTGCTCGTGCTCCTTCACTGAGGTGACTGAGTTCCTGACTGAGCGTCGTGAGCCTGAGACTCGTGCTTCCACACCTGTCCGTGCTGGTCGTGTCGCCCGTCCTTGTCCTCCCCCTGTGCCAGGTACTCACACTATGGCACTTCGTCCTTCCTCTGTTCCCCAGCGAGTTCCCCTGCCGTCTCCTCCGGCGTCCTCCCTTCCTGCCGTTCCGGACCCTGAGTCTGACTTGGTTCGTGCTGCCATCCCTACTCTCACACGTCTTCTAGCCACAATTGTCATTGGCCCTTCGTTTGAGTCCGCTGCTGCGTCTGCCTTAGTTGCTGAGCTTGTTGACTTTGCTGCTGCGTGTCGTTTCGACTATGCCACAAGTCTTGTTGCTGAGTCTGAGTCTGACTGTCCTCCGTACGTCTGGGGCGAGTGTGTTCTTGGCACGGACGTCCTTGAGCACAGGCAGGAGGACTTTGAGTGTCTTGCAGCTGCTGTACCTCATCTCGTAGCTATGCTACTCGCACCTAAGAGAGACCCGGATGCACCAAACATCCCGACCCCGCGCTATTACGCTGAGGTGATCACATGTCCCTACTCCTTTCACTGTCAGACAGCCATAGACGCAGAGATGGCATCGTGGAAGTCCACAGGCACTTACAACGACGAAGTTCCCCCTCCTGGGACGAACATAGTCGATGGCATGTGGATTTTCAGGGTGAAGCGGCCGACGGGTTCTCCGCTTGTCTTCAAAGCTCGTTACGTTGCACGAGTCAGCGACAGGGAGTTGACTTTTTCCAGACCTTCTCCCCTACCCCAAAGATGACCACTCTTCGGGTGCTGCTGCACGTCGCCGCTTAGCGTGACTACCAGCTTCACTCTCTTGACTTCAGCACAGATTTCTTACAGAGCAGCCTTCACGAGGAGATCTGGATGCGCCGCCCACCTGGCTTCACTGGGTCGTCTCCTGCATGTACCCAGTGGAGCCTTCGGCAGCTAGTCTACGGTCTCCGCCAGGCGCCTCGTCAGTGGCACGACACACTGAGGACGACACTTGCGGCTCTTGGGTTTGCTCTTTCGTCTGCTGACCTGTCGCTGTTTCTGCGCAACGACACTTCGCTACCGCTGTCCTACATCCTTGTGTACCTCGACAACTTAGTTTTTGCCACTGCTGACACTGAGGCACTCGCCCTTGTGAAGTTGGAGCTGGAGAAGAGACACACGTGCACATACCTACGTAAGCTGCGTTGCTATCTTGGCTTGCAGATCACCCGGGACAGAGCACGGCGCACCATCACCCTGACTCAGTCACACATGGTGCACCAGGTCCTTCAGTGCTTCCACTTCCTGTTCTCTTCGCCACAGCCTACTCCTTCGCCTAACACCCACTCGCTCTCAGCTCCACCTTCAGACGAGTCCGTAGAGCCGAGTGGCCTGTATCCAGAGCTTGTGGGCTGCCTCATGTACCTGATGACCTGCACTCGACCTGACCTTGCCTACCCTCTTAGCATCCTGGCTTGCTACGTTGCGCTCGGGAGACACTGACCAGAGAACTGGGAGGCCGCTCAGAGGGTGTTGCACTACCTGTGCAAAACATCGGGCATGGGGCTCGTGCTTGGAGGACGGGGTCCAGTTGTCCTCACAAAACATGCACACGCGTCTTGGGTTGACGACTTGGCTACGCAGCAATCGTCAAAGGGTTACACTTTCAGCCTTGGCTCTGGCTCTGTTCCTTGGTGGTCTACCCGCTCGTCTTCTGTTCTCAGTTTCGGTTGTGATGTTGAGATCTACGTAGGGGCGATAACTGCACAGGAGTTACGGTGGCTCACCTACCTGCTGACCAGCTTGGGAGAGCGGCCTTGTTCTCCTCCTGTACGTGGACAACAAGGTCATAATTGCCTTGTGTCAGAAGCACAAACTGGAGCACAGGACGAAGCACATCGCTCTGTGTTACTTCCTTGCTCGAGAGTTGTAGCAGCGTGGTTACCTTCGTCTTGCTTACGTGGCCACTCGGGCCAACACTGCTGATATATTTACCAAGCCACTTCAGCCTGGTGATCATCAACGTTTCTGTACTGCTTTAGGCCTTGTGCCTGCTTTGTCTCACTTGCTCACTTCGTGACGTTGCTTGTACTGTGATCTATATACATATACATGCATGCCTACACTTGCTAGGTTATGATTACTGCATTGTTTGTTCTCTTTTATATAACTCTGCATGTGAACTGACCTTGTGGCCATTTGCTTGTGCTCGGAATGTGTGGTGACTTCGTGATCCACCCTGAGCTTGTGTTGTTTTTTCTTGACTAGTCTTGTGACCTCCTATTCTCCCCCACTTTGCCTATGGGAGTGTGTTAAAATGTTATAGTGCTTATACTTGTTGAGATAGGAGCACAAGTGGTAGTTAAGTTTAGGTAGGGCCTAGGCTTAGTGGCCTAGGCCAAGGGGAAGTCGAGAAAGCTGTGCCAAGGAGAAAGTCGAGAATGGGGATGATGTTCAGTATAGCACTAGGGTACATATAGCAAACAGAGCATGCAAAGAAGGTGCATCACCAACAGTTTATAATAACTACACTAAACTACAGCTACAGGGAGTTACATATATATTCTAACACTCCCCCATAACTGCCTGCAGCAGGAGTTTGTGCAGAACACAACCTGCAGGGGTACACCAGCAACAGCAACAGCAGGCACGGTAACAGAGCAGGTACAGCAGCAAAGGGACAGGCGACAGCAAGACACTCCTGCCACCCCCTTACTCTCCTCCCCCCCCCCGACCACAAGAGGGGCAGCAGGGAGAGAGAGGAGGCGGGCTGGCTCTGGCTGGTCACCCCCTCCATCCCCTCACCCTCCCCCTCCCCCTCCCCCCCACACTGCTGCAGGAGCAGCAGAGGGGGGAAGAGAGGAGAGGTGGAGGGACGGCTGCTGGTTGGTCTCACACCCGCCACCCCAGTGCCACTCCCCCGGCTCCCCCACAACCTCACACCCTACCCCCTAGTGGCAGCTGCAGCAGTGGGAACGAAAGGAGGAGGAGGGGAAGGGAAGCACACCACCCATCACCCCCACACCCGCCACCCCCATACCCTCCCCCCGACGGCTGCAGGGAGACGAAGGAGGAGGGGGTGGGCGGGGAGAAAGCCGCAGAGCGGCTACAGAGGGTCGGCGCGGGTAGGTCAGGGGCGGCTGCAGCGAGTGCAGGCGCGGGGTGAGGCAGAGGCGGCTGCACCGAGTCCAGGAGCGGGGGCGGGTGCTCCAAGGGCAGGCACTGGTTGGTGCAGAGGCGGCTGCAGCGAGTGCAGGCGCGGGTGAGTCAGGGGCACCGCCGCTGGCGCCAGGGGCGGATCCGCGGCGACTCAGGGCACCGATGCGGGCGCCAGTGGCGGATCCGCGGCGGCTCAGGGCATCGTCGCACACCACGGGGCACGCGACGGGCAGTTTAGGGCACCGTCGCGTGCCACGGGGCGCACGACGGGCAGGGCACCGTCGTGTGCCACGGGGCGCAAGACGGGCAGGGCACCGTTGCGTGCCACGGGGCGCACGACGGGCAGGGCACCATTGCGTGCCACAGGGCGCACGACGGGCAGGGCACCGTCGCGTGCCACGGGGCGCGCGACGGGCAGAAAAGATGTCACGCGCCACCCGGGCGCGGGACAGGACGAAAATCGCCACGCGCCCGAGGCGCGCGACCGGAAAAATAGCAGCGGAAGCGTGAGGCGGGCCCACAGGCCTGGACTTAACAGTCTCTGATTCCATTTTGAAATAGGAGCACAAGTGGTAGTTAAGTTTAGGTAGGGCCTAGGCTTAGTGGCCTAGGCCAAGGGGAAGTCGAGAAAGTTGTGCCAAGGGGAAAGTCGAGAATGGGGATGATGTTCACTATAGCACTAGGGTACATATAGCAAACAGAGCATGCAAAGAAGGTGCACCGCCAACAGTTTATAATAACTACACTAAACTACAGCTATAGGCAGTTACATATATATTCTTACACTATTGTGTAGGCTGTAGTGGGGTAGCCCATAAGGGGTACAACTCAATTAGGGTTAGTACTTGTACCCACTTTGATCTTAGTCCATTCATTCTCGTTCAGATTTCTGACACAACCGCTGTTGGGGGGAAGATCTGCAAGACCATCCTTAGCGAGAAACCAGTACAGAGGGACGAACATAGTGATGGGTGCGTCGGCCTTGTAGACGAACATCGCGATATGCAGGTAGCGGATGATGTGGCGAGTAGACGAATCCGTCTCCTGCCACCTTGTCAAAGTCACTTGCTTCTCCTTAGCCGCAAGTGACCGAGCCTTGTTCTCTAGGGCCTGTTTATGTGCTCGGGTAGATGAGTGAACACGAATGGTTCCAAGTTGCAAGTCACGGCCACCCTCACCCTTCGCGCCGTAGACTGTGCGAGCGGTAGGATCGCCGTACTGAATGCAGATTTTACATTTCAGCAAAGGTCTCCTGTTGGTCCGACGATGTAGCCGTAACCAATCAAATTTCACTGCCCAATCAGTATCATACCTGTGCTTGTACGCTGCGTACTCAGCTTCAGCGGTGACGGTTGGTGGTCTGGGATCGGCAGGAGCTTCGGTGCGCGTTGGTGATGCATCCTTCTTTGGTGGCGGGGCGCCCCAGAGCCTCTGCTGAGTGTATTTCACCCTGACCCGCGGCCTTTTGCCCAGCGTGCTGTTCACCATCTACGGGGACGCAGTAGAAGGCCTGCACCTGCCTTTATCGCTGCCAGGAACAAGAACCAGTGACGGGTGTGGCTCATTAGCACTAGGAGAATTGGGCCGCTCGACTGCAAACACATAGCCGACGCTTTGCACGGGCGAGGCATCACGAGGCGGTTGTGCGATGGGAACGGTGTAGCTCTCAGATAGCTTGGGAAGAACACCAAGAACTGAGAGCCCGTTTCTTGGGCCCGTTTCCCAGGCGGTTCCTTCTCTTGCTCGGCTGGTATGACTAGCTGGTGCTACTCTGTGAGACTTCGGGGAAGTGCAAGAGAGAGGTGAGGAAGATGGGTTCCCTTTGGGAAGGAAGGACCCCCTCCGCACCACGCATAGCTGTCGATGAAGCGAGGAAATGCATTGCAGGTACAGGATGTCACGTGATGGCATGCCAACTGCAGCGCTGGGAAAGACGAGCCACACATCGCGGCAGTTTTGCTGTGCTGTCATAAAAACAGCCACAGTTGGCAGGGACTATGAGCTGTATTGGCAGCATCCACGGGTGCGCTGGCACGAATCTTGCCGAACACACCAATGGGTATAACTTTGGGGTCGGTGGGGGGGGGTTTGGCAGTTTCTCACCATAGGGCGGGTGCGACAAGATGGCGGAGTGGCACCGCGTCTTAGGTGCAATGTATGTGTTGTGTAGCAGAATCCTAGCTTCCGAGAACTCGGTATTAGGGTAAGTGGGAGAGAACAATGATGAAGTGAGGGGAACAAAATGCGAACTTTGAATCTATAAGGGTAAAAAAAATCAATCATTTTTTGAGTCAGTGTTCAAAGCCTGGGAGCCTGACTAAGTCAGGGTACTTAGAAAAAAAAAGCGGCCGCCAGTCAGGGCAGTCAGGGTAAAATACCCTGACATTTTGGGGTCGGGGCACGACGGGAACATTCCATCCCCCGCCACATGGAGTCACGCGGGTGGGGTGCTAAGCTACAGCTCAAGGGGCAGCACGAGGTGGGGAGGGATGTGAGCGAGCCACGGTGGCAGGGCGTGCAGCACGCGCCCGAAGCCTCTCAGCTGGGCGCCATAGTGCTGTGCCACCCTGCCCCACGCATGCACCTCCACACCCTCCCCCCACTCTGCTGCCCCGTCCCCTCCCTCTGCCTCCTCCCCCGCCCCTTCACTGCCTGCTGTGTGCCTTACTGCCACCACTGTCCCTCCCTCCTTCCTGCGTCCCTACTCTCCGTCTACCATACTGCACTGCTCCCCATCCCGCGCAGGATTGCCTCCCTTCCTGCCCACCTCCTTGCTGCCCCCGTGCCACCGCTTCACCACTTTCCACTCCCCTCCCTCGCCTGCCCCCCACGCTCTGCTGCCTCCCTCTGCCCTCACCCACTCTTGCTCCTCTTCCACACGCCTCTCCTCTTCCACACGCCTCTCCTCTTCCACACGCCTCTCCTCTTCCACACGCCTGTCCTCTTCCATACGCCTCTCCTCTTCCACACGCCTCTCCTCTTCCACACGCCTCTCCTCGTCCACACGCCTCTCCTCTTCCACACGTCTCTCCTCTTCCACACGCCTCTCCTCGTCCACACGCCTCTCCTCTTCCACACGCCTCTCCTCTTCCACACGCCTCTCCTCTTCCACACGCCTCTCCTCTTCCACACGCCTCTCCTCGTCCACACGCCTCTCCTCTTCCACACGCCTCTCCTCTTCCACACGCCTCTCCTCTTCCACACGCCTCTCCTCTTCCACACACCTCTCCTCTTCCACACGCTTCTCCTCTTCCACACGCCTCTCCTCTTCCACATGCCTCTCCTCTTCCACACGCCTCTCCTCTTCTACACGCCTCTCCTCGTCCACACGCATCTCCTCTTCCAAGCCCCTCTCTCCCATTCCCCCCTCGTCTGAGCCACTCAGACCACACACGCACGCGTCACCTGAACCATGAGCATGATCCATCATCACACGTGACCAATAGAGCCCCAAGAAGGAGGGATGGCATAGCGTGGCAGCAGCTGTGTTTAGCAAACAGTTGTTAAGTTTGTTGTTAGGCTTGTGAAAAACGTTTGTGAAAAGGAAGTTGACAATAACTAGTTTCGAGCCTTCTTCAGACCACAGGTTCAATGAGAAGCAAGCTAGGCTAAATACCAACCCCCAGGGCTCAATCGCGAGGCATTCCTCCGCGTGGTCAGGGAAGGTGGGGGAAAACTAGATGAGAACAGTAGAAAAAGACCTACAGTAAACAAGCACTTATGAGCTGAAATCAGATCATTACCAACTCGTCTTGGTAAACTCCAAGCGAGAATTGCCCTGCGTGTAGAAGAGATACCGTGTGACATTATACCGAGCTGACTTTTGAGTCGACTCAAAATGTTCCCCAAGCGCGAACGGTCAACCAACGGGTTGAGCAGAAGTTTCAGCACTAGGGGGGCACGGGTTGGAGAGTTGTGAATTGCAGAGGCGCGTTGGAGTAGTTCCCTACGAGCAGAGAAATTTCTCCTTTAGCGAAGAGGACTGACTTGAAGATCGGAAGGAGAAATTTCTCCAAGTACCCACGAGCTCGTAAGCGAGAGAAGAATAAGGCGCCGGAGTTAAGGAAGTCAGACCGGGAGGAGGAGCGTAAGAGAAATCTTTGCAGCTCACTCCGAATGAAACCGACTTTTGTAGACTGGGTGTGATAAGACTTGAAAGGCAGGTACAGGTACCGATTCATCGGCTTCTGATACAGGTTCATGTCGAGAGTACTAGAACTTGAAAATCTTTGCCCCTTAATGACTGTCAGGTCCAAAAAATCCATTGTAGTTTCTGAAACCACCCATGTTAGTCAGATAGAAGGATGAAGTGAAGCGAACCGTTGCCGTAAACATTCAAACTCTGCTCTCGTTCCGTCCCAAAGAATCAACCCGTCATCAATTAAACGAAGATGAAGAGCGGGAGTGAGTTTCAGCGATGCGTGAAGTTGAATGTCCAGATAACTGAGTAACAGCACAGCGAAGCAAACAGCCACCGAAGTTCCCATGGCAGTGCCTTGGATCTGACGGAAAAAATGGTCATTGAAAGACAACAATCTGCTGAACATCACCCATCGTAAGAGGCAAATAATAACTAGCGCGAGAGGGTGCCGCTCCTTCTGTAAAAAATAGGCAACAGCATCGATGCCATCCCAGAGCAGAATTGACGGGTACAAAGACTCAACGTCATGAGACGCTAGTAGCAGCTTAGAAGAAAAAAATTGTTGCTCAAGTTGAAGAATAAGACTTTTAGAGTCCTTCACGTATGCCGGCTGTTTAAGAACCAATGGCCGTAGAATAGAATCCAGCCAGCGCAACACATAAGTTGTGATCTATGAAGAAATGAGGAATGAATGAACTAGCAAGCAGGTGGGTACAAGTAGGAAAACCTAAAAGTGTTGTACCCCATATTGTCTACCCCACTACAGCCTACACATACTATAGCATATGAGTTTGACACTCCCCCATAGGCAAAGTGGGGGAGAACAAGAGGTCACAAGACCTGTCAAGTAAAGCAAAGAAAGCTCAGGGTGGATCACAACGTCACCACACATTCCGAGCACAAGTTCAAGGCCACAAGGCCAGTTCACATGCAAGATCATATATAAAGGTAAACAAGCAAGTGCAGGTATAGAAAGATCACAGTACAAGCAAGGTCAAGAAGTGAGCAAGTGAGGCCAAGTAGGCACAAGACCTAGCATCGTACAGCAGCGCTGATGATCACAAGGCGGAAGTGCCTTGGTAAAGATATCAGCAGTGTTGGCCTCAGAGGCCACGTAAGCAAGGCGCAGCTGACCACGCTGCTGCTCACGAGCAAGGAAGTAGCGAAGAGCAATGTGCTTTGTTCTGTGCTCCAGTCTGTGCTCCCGACACAAGGCCAGCATGGCCTTGTTGTCTACGTACAGAACTGGAGGAGAACGAGGCGGCTCTCCTAGGTCAGTCAGCAGGTAGGTGAGCCAGCATAGCTCCTGTGCAGCCATGGCCCTTGCCTAGATCTCTGCCTCACAGCAGGAGCTGAGAACAGAGGACGAGCGGGTAGACCGCCACGAAACAGAGCCGGAGCCAAGGCTGAAGGTGTAACCCTGTGATGACCGCTGCAGAGCCTGATCGTCAGCCCAAGAAGCGTCAGCGTGACCTGTGAGGACCACTCGACGTCTCCCTCCAAGCACTAGCCCCATGCTCGACGTACTGCACACGTAGCGCAACACCCTCTTCGCTGCAGCCATGTGCTCTGGTCGGTGTCTCCCAGGAGCAACATAGCGTGCCAAGATGCTAAGAGGGTATGCAAGGTCAGGTTTTGTGCAGGTCATCAGGTACATGAGGCAGCCAACAAGCTCTGGGTACGGGCCACTCGGCTCTACAAACTCATCCGAAGGCAGAGCTGAGAGCGAGTGGCGAGTAGACAGAGGAGTGGCCTGAGGCGAGGAGTACGTGAAGTCGAAGCGCTGAAGGACCTGCTGCACCATGTGTGACTGAGTCAGGGTAATGGTGCGCTGTGCTCTGTCCCGAGTGATCTGCAAGCCAAGGTAGCTGCGCAGTTCACCCAGGTCTGTGCACGTGTGTCTCTTCTGCACCTCGGCCTTCACGTGGGCGAGTCCAGCAGTGTCAGCCGTAGCAAAGTCCTCGTCGACGTACACGAGGATGTAGAACAGCGGCAAAGAGGTGTCGGTGCGCACAAACAGCGACGGGTCAGTAGTAGGAGGAGCAAACCCAAGAGACGCAAGTGTAGTCCTCAGTGTGTCGTGCCACTCACGGGGCGCCTGGCGGAGACCGTAGACTGGCCACCGGAGGCTTCACTAGGTACCAGGAGGGAACGACCCAGTGAAGCCAGGTGGGCGGCGCAGCCAGATCTCCTCGTGCAAGCTGCCCTGCAAGAAAGCTGTGCTGAAGTCAAGAGAGTGAAGCTCGTAGTCGCGATGAGCGGCTATGTGCAGCAGCACCCGAAGAGTGGTCATCTTTGGGGTGGGAGAGAAAGTCTGAAAGTAGTCAACTTCCTGCCGCTGATTGAAGCCTCGAGCCACATAACGCGCCTTGAAGACACGCGGAGAACCCGCCGGCCGCTTCACCTTGAAAATCCACATGCCACTGACGATGTTCGCCCCAGGTGGGGGAACCTCGTCGACGTAGGTGCCTGTGGACTTCTAGGAGGCCATCTCTGCGTCCATGGCTGACTACCAGTGTGACGAGTAGGGACCCTCGATCGCCTGTGTGTACGATCGAGGAGTCGGGATGTCTGGTGCATCCGGGTCTCCGTCAAGAGCAATCAGCGTGGACACGAGATGAGGCAAAGCAGCAGCAAAACACTAGAACTCCTCCTGCCTGTCCTCAAGGACGTCCGTGCTAAGAGCACACTCACCCCCGACGGACGGAGGACACACAGACTCCGACTCAGCAACAAGACTAGCAGCATAGTCTTGACGATAGCGAGTAGCAAAGTCGACAAGCTCAGCAACTAAGGCAGACACAGCAGTGGACTCAAAGGAAGGGTCAGTGACAACAGTAGCCAGGAGACGCGTGACAGAAGGACTAGCAGCAAGACGAGAGTCAGACTCCGGGTCAGCAAGGACAGGAAGAGAGGACTCAGGAGGAGAAGGCAAAGGGACACGCAGAGGAGCAGTGGAAGAACGCAGTGCCATCTGGTGTGTGCCTGGGACCGCAGGAGGACGCGGACGCGGAGCACAACGACTAGTGCGGGCAGTAAGAACAGGCGACGCAGGACGAGACGCAGGCTCACGACGCTCAGCAAGACCTCTAGTAGGACCAGTGTAGGGAGAAGGAGCAGGCAGGGGGGAGGCGGGCTGTAAGTGTGACTACGACTAGACAGGCTGTGGACACTCTAAGAGAGGATCAGGACCAGTAGAAGGCGGGAGACCAAGAACCTGCTCAACGAGCGGAACGAAGTACAGCCGCGGCCGCGCAGCGCCTCGAGAACCAGCAGGGACAGCACCAGTACCCCCAGCGACAGCACCAACGCTAGCAGTACCTCCAGCTCCAACAGCGCCAACTTCAGCACCCTCAGAAGCACTAGTGCCAGTATCACCTCCAGTGCCAACACCCCCAGCAGATCCAGCTCCAGCAGCACCAACTCCAGCAGGACCATCAGCTCTAGCAGCCTCAACAGCACCCCCAGGCCCAGCAGCTCCAGTACCGCCGGTACGAAAACCTCCAGGACCAGTGGTTCCTGTAACTCCGGTGCCGACCCCAGGGTCAGCAGTAACAGCAGCACCTCCAGCTCCAGCAGCACGGCTCCAGCGCCGGGCAAACTACTCGCGCTGCTCCTGTGGAGAGGGTAGCTCCCGCCTCGACGAAGCACCCGAAGGGACCCCAAACCCAGCACCGCCAGAGGCCACACGAGCAGACCCAGCACCCTCAGGCTCCGCTCCCCAAGGCTCAGCACCCCCAGGCTTCGTACCCCTAGGCTCGGCACCCCCAGGCTCAGCACCCCCAGGCTCCGCACCCCCACGCCCAGCACCCCCAAACTCTGCACCCCCAGGCCCAGCACCCCCAGACTCAGCACCTCTGGGCTCAGCACCCCTAGCAGTACGAGCGTCAACAGCTACCTCGACAGGCTCGACTGCGTCTACCTGGGACACACCTGACGGGGCAGGACCCAGAGGGGGGAGGGGGTCTACCAGGGGGGGACCTGGCGTAAGAAAGAGCGGCGGCGGGGGGAGGGGTGCAGTGCGGTAGGGGAAGAGTCGGTAGTAAGGAACCGACTCATAAAACGTGACGTCCTGGGGGGACGGAACATGGCGCGAGGTGGGGTGGTAAAACTGCCAACTAGGCGCGTCAGTGGGGAAGCCAAGGAAGACGCACGGAACCGCACGGGGGGACAGTTTGTCCGCAGGCAAGTTCGGACAAACGCTCGAGATCCCCAGACACGAAACGCAGACGCATCGCTAACCTTCCCCGTCCACCGTAAGGTGGGGGAGGTCTCCGGCAAGGAGACCCGGGGCTGAAGGTTGATCTGAAGAGCTGCGTACCGAACCGCAAACGGCCACAGAAAATGGGGAGCAGCCGCATGGATCATGGACGTACGAGCGACGTCCATGACCATGCCAGTGCGGCGCTCAGCAATCCCATTTTGCTGTGGAGAGGCCGGAAGCATGAAGGTCTGGCGGATGCCCTGTGCACGACAGAAGGCTCCCAGAAGTGCACATGAAAACTCCCCGCCTTTGTTAGAGTGCAGACGCAGAACAGGAAAGTCCGAGCCGAAACTCTCTTTGAGCTAGAGACGAGCCGCGCGGATCCAGTCGATCAACACCTTAGTGACGACACCCTTGCTGTACAAGGGGAACACCGTGGTGTAACGCGAGTAGTCGTCAACCACCAACAGGAAGTAACGCTCTTGACCCTGGCCACGGACGCGGGCGGGGCCCCACACGTCCATGTGAAGAGTCTGCAGCGGAGCCTCTGTCGGAGGAAACTCGGAGGAGTGAGGGGCGGCGCGCTGCCGCCCCTCGACGCAGGGAATGCAGGTAGGGGCAGGCCCCGGAGGGAGGGGAGAAAGAGACCGGGGGAGACCAGAGACAAGGACACGGGAGGCCATGCCTCGGAGACGAGGCAGGGAGGGGTGACCAAGGCGGTGGTGCCACAGGAGACACCTGGTGGGACAGGAGACGACACGAGCAGGGAGCAGTCTCAGGACCAGACCTGGACGCTGCAGCAAACACCTGACTCGACGCAGCTACCTGACCAGACT